TTTTAACCCACTCACTAACTAGATCACACTCTGTAGCCTACTCACACAATCACTCACTAAATAACATTCTATAGTCGACTCACTCACTAAACCACATAATAAATCACCCTTTTAATCAGCTCATTCAATAAATCAATTTCTTAGTCTTACTCCATAAATCATATCATTTAATCCACTCACCCACTAAATAATTTACTACAGTTCAGTCATTCTGGAATCAATTTATTTTGCTCATTCACCCAATAAATCACGTTCATTACACATTTTCAAATATCCATTCACTCATTCAAACAACATTTTCAAGGTACAGTTTGTAGTCGAATCTTTAGAACTCTAGAAGAATTTTATTACCTTGTGAGCGAATGTCTCATGGGCGATTCCATTATTAATTTTTAGGTAATGTTTTGCATTTTAATTCACACAGAAGCAAGCATAAACATTACAAGAAATGTTGTTCTTGTATGTATACTCATAACGTAATCAATAAAAAAGCAAGCATAAAAAGATTTTATAGAAATAAGCCATTGGCATATAAATAATTGTATTCAATCATTCCAATATATATATATATATATATATATATATATATATATATATATATATATATATATGTGTGTGTGTGTGTGTGTGTGTGTGTGTGCGTATGTATGTGATTATCAAATAGTTTTAATGTAGGGCATATTTATGTGTTAATATCGACACTATCAGAGTTTGCGTGTATATTAATTTGAGATATAATTGTTGATATATATATATATATATATATATATATATATATATGCTATTTAAATTATTCGTACTATTGTTCTCATCTTTGTAGCCATATATATTACAACGCTTCGCCCGTTATACGCTCCGGCCTTCTTCAGATGGTTGGAATGTTGAACTGAATCCTTTATTTCGCTCACTTTATCCACTGTGTGATTTGTCCTCAAGGACACATGACAGGGTGGGTAAAGGCGTTAGTTAGATCCAATGACAGGATACAAAGGTTAAGGCAGTGGAGAACTTGGGGAGGGGAATTAACAAAATATATCTGACAACTGACATCTATTAAAACATAGCACGTGGAATTAGAACAGTCTACCCCAGTGAACGAAATAAATGTTTCAGTTCGATATTCCGACCGCCTGAAGAATGCCGGAGCGTACACCGGCCGAAACTTTGTAATCAACATGGCGACAAAGATGATGACAATAGTCTGAATAAGGGAAATAGTGTACATAATTCCTCATCTAAAAAAATATAGACAGATATATATATATATATATATATATATATATATATATATATATATATATATATATATATGTGTGTGTGTGTGCGTGTGTGTGTGTGTTTGTGCGCACAAGAACCCCTCACACACTCAAACACACACATATATATATGTGGACACTTCGACGTGGAATAATGGAATATAATCACTAAAAATAGAAATTATTTTAATAATGTCCCAAATTCTTTTAATCACATATGAATTATCGTTACATTGCTAAAACTGTTTGAATCTCTGAAGTAAAGGAAGCGACATTTTCAACCTTTGCTATTTTTCATGCTTGCACTGAAGCCTTGATATTCTAGGCTAGGAACTTTCTTTCTAGCAGTAACCTAGAGATAATGACATCTTTATCCAAAAAGAAATTAAGTAATTTACTGCCGTTAGATCTGCATTTTACGTTGAAGCCAGACATAAAAGAAAAGTGAAAAATATAAATGTTTATGAAAAACGAATTTAAGCAAGTCTGTTCGTATTCGTATCATTCATAGAACATCGTAGTATCCAGTCAATTCTGCAAAGATTTAAATCTTATTCTTTTATAATTCAATAAAACACTTTGCGAAAAATCCAATTGAAAATCAGGAAGAATAGCTCGTTCAATCATTGCAAATGTCTGAGAACAATTCCTGAAATGATTTTCTAGAAATCTTTTAACAATATTTTAAAATATCATCTAAAAATTAATAATTATGCTTTAGTTGAAAGAAAAAGTCCTTCGGGAGACAATGCAAAATTATCTTCATGTGATATGAAAACAGGTCAGGTAAATCCGTGTTTTAACACCCATTTTTGAAATGTTTAGCTAAGAAAGATAAAAAAAAAACTTTACTGAAATATTGCATTTCTTTTGACAAATTATACCTGAAAATAATATCCAATTGTTCTGAATAAGCTTAATTTTTTTTTATTTTTTTCTTTAAATGCATTTTTGTTTCAGTTAAACAATTGTTATGTTTTTAATGTCTAAAATATAAAGCATTTTACTTATTAGAAGAAGTATTGTCTTTATATTGATAATACCGTATTATCCCTTAATAAATATTATGCTAAGTGCTCGTGGTTTTATGAATGTCATATTCGTTTTCGTTCTGGTAAAAGATGTAATGATGTTCTATGTCATCAAACAATTTGAGGATATGTCATACCCCTCCATTAGAATATTTTATATTTGCTATGTCGAACTCATAGCAATATATGACCACAGCAATAGATACTCGATCTTTTCAACTATTAGAAACCGCCTTCCAAACTTCAACTCCACTGAATGCATCGATCTAATAGACCATTTTCTGTCCACAAAATCTTACATGTATATTATTGGTCACAAAATGGAAACAAATCTGGCCTATTCAGGAAAAAAATAAGGGGGAAATGAGGCTCACTCACTGTTCAATATTTTCATAAATTATTCCCTGCATATTTACAAACACAAATTCGAGGACAAGGACACTGATCATAGAAGAATTCCAGACTATATCCCAAACGGATCCTGCTAATCGTCCGTGTTAATGATAGGGTCTCTTCTGATGACAAAAGTATTCAAATTTAGGATAAGAACGGACTTGAACAAAACAATCAAAATCCTCTTCCAAGTAATTCATGAAATGTCACTCAAATAAACATTTCCAAAATAGAACTGTTCATTGGATTCAGTGGAGGCGTGTACCCTGAATCCATGATAAAATTTCAGGAAGTGGAATCAGTAAATACTAAACACATTACATACTTCGGTTTAATGAACGATTATAATACATTAATGTCAGAGATGATGCAATTGAAAAAAAATATGATGTGCGAGAGGTATGTTTGCTCATCACTGAAGATTGCGACAAAACCAAAACCTTAACATGAAAACTCGAGCCACATACTTAAAAAGCCACGTCAGCTCGGCTATTTTCATGGCGCATGGCAACAAACACGTTCGAAAATGTCTAAACTGTCAGCTGCATCCAGATCAATAGGCAACAATGATTCAGCACGATTGATGCAATTGATGACGACGATAATTCTTCGAAAATTGTAGACTGGCGCTACACAATTATAAATAAAAAGAAAAATACCAAATAGAAGAAACCACAGCACTTGAGGTCTTTTTTCCAGAAACAACTCTAATGGATATCACAGCTTGAATAGAAAATAATGATATAAACATGATGATGTCATTCTATATTCTTTCAAATAAAAAGCGAGGAAAGAAACCCCCATGAATACTAAAAAACTGATGAATTCTACTGGAGTTGTGAATCCTGTTTTCCTGAAATAAATGTTGAGAGAAATATTGTATACACTTCAACCAACAATAGTACTGGCTGTTTGGACAATGAATATCGAAACTTTCCTAAGAAGACAACTGATAATTGCATCATTACAATTTTGTCTAATTAAGTAACAGACGTAAGAATATTTTTTTTTACTTAATGCTTTAATATTATTGTTCATTTTCAACTTGTCGTTATTTAGTTGCTTTTCTGTAGTAACAGTCAGTTAGTTAAGAATAGAATAATTCTTAACTTTGCAAGTAATTACACATTTCTAGAACGTTTTATAAAAGATCAAATTCTGTTTCATTGATCACTGAATTTAGCAATGGAAATTAACTGAATTTTTGTTTCGGAAGAGACATTATTAACTGTTTTTATTCACCTCAGGAAGAAAAGTGTGAACATTTTTAGATTTGTTACAGTGTGAAACATCATCACTACATATTTGTCTGGAATAGCAATGCATTAATAATAAAACATTACTATTGTAATATTATTTCAGAAAGAGAGCATAAATTACACGTTCGCGTAGCTTTTATAGGCGCGGAAATTAGAATTGGCACATTAAATTGAAATTCTACTCTAGGCCGATACGTTCACGGAACGATATGAAAACGTCTTTTAATAGTCTTTACGAACAGGTACACTGCTCGGCATTTTTAAAAGCTAGTGTAGGTTAAGATACATTGTGAAATCAAAACCGGTTTTTTATGGGACTATAAACTCTACGCCGAAAACATCATTTATACAACGGAAACCGGAAATGTTATACCAAGCGATTTGATGGTGTGGTCATTTTCTTCAAAACAGCAATGCTTCCTGTGGTGAATATCGACTTTGAAATAAGGATGTGCCGTCTATACTGATTATTAAGGGTTCCGAAAAAAAATCAGAGAAAATGATAATAACAACAAATAATGATTATTTTTTTCTAAATGATTTATTTGTTTTTAAATATCTTTCTTTTCTTTTTTCTAACAACTTCATCAGTCAATTCGTTGTAGCAAGTATCAGCCACGTCCAATATGTTCACCTTCAAAAGAACTTATTCATGGCAATGAATAAGCTGGTAAACGAAAAGCATTAACTCCACATATTTTTCTTATATCTTTTATTGATGATTCAAACATAACTGAGCCTTTCTTCATCCAGATTCCCATGTTCTATGTTCCTGTCTTTAGATCGTGGTAGACGGAATTAGGTGTCTCCTATACTTATATAAAAAATAATGCCAATCATGCACAATTTCTCCTAAGCAGTAGATGAACTGGAATTTGAAAAAAAAAATCACGAGTGCAATGTAGGATAGTAAAAGTAAAAAAAAAAGTACTTTTTTATTACACAAAATAATTCTAGAATATTATCTAAAGTAAATATTGCTTGCGTTGCATAGAAGGATCCTTTACCTCTGAAGTCTATCGTATGCGTAAATGAAGATATATGAATAAAATAAAAATATTTCAAGTAAATAGATATAAAGAAACAAAGAAATGAAAATATCTGAGATAGTAGAAGAGAAAACAGGATTGCAAATGAAAGGTGAGGGAAGGCAAATGGAAAGGTGAGGTAGGGAGAAAGAAAGAGAAAGGAGAGAGGGAGAAAGTAATTGGATGGAGGGAGGGATAAAGCAAACGGAAGGAGGGAAGAAAAAACAAAGGAAAAGATGGAGGGAGAAAGTAAATGGAAGGAGGGAGGGAGAGAGGTACAATACAAAGGAAAGAAGAGAAAGAGAAAGCATAGGAAAAGAGGAAGGGAGGAAGCAAATGGAAAGGGGAAGGAAGAAGAAAGCAGACGATGTAGGGAGAAAGGAAATGGATAGAGGAAAGGAAAAAGCAAATGAATAGATGGAAGAAGAAAGCAAATGGAAGGAAAGAGAAAGCAAATGGAAGGAGGGAGAAAGCAAATTGAAGGAGTGAGTGAGAAAGAGACAAAGCAAATGAAAGCGGGAGGGAGAAATCTGAAAAAAAAAAACGTGTAAATCGCAAATGAGAGATGGGGGAAAAGAAATAAACAGAGAACAAAAGAATTCGCGGTAAATGCAGTGAGAAGCTGGGAAATAAACAATGAAAAAAAGAGAAAGGATTATTAATGAGAAGCGGAAGGGACGTGTAAACAGCTAGAAAGAGGATTGAATTGGAACAAGAGAGTGGAAAAGGAAAAGAGTAACAAAGAGAAGAATAGAAGAGAAGAAGTTTTGTTGGAGGAAGGTAGAAACGAAAGATGAAGAATAAAAGAAATGAAAGTCAATCGAAAGAAGAAGACACGACGTTAAATGAAGGAGAATAAAAGTCAAAATACTGCTTATATATGCATAAGGGGTCAGAAAGAAGGTGGTGAGTGATAATGGAAGAAAATGATAGCCAATGTCTTTAAATGAATCTGTATACAAATATTTAAATAATTTTGGGGAAATTCACTTAAAAGAGCTATGAAATTTTGTCAGACACAAAGAATACACTTTGTGTGTGTAGGTATGTGTATGTATTAAAATATATTTTGCACAAGTATATATACACATAATATGATTATCAAATTGTTCTAGGCAAAATACTAGGCAAAATAATTGTAGTGAGGACCGAAAGACGTTTTTAAAATATGCTATTTATTGACAGCTATATTAATTCTTTGTATAATTACCACTTTATATATATATATATATATATATATATATATATATATATATATATATATATATATATATATATATATATATATATATAATCGACTCTCCCGTCAGCAGATCAGTTCCTAGGAAACTGACAGCCAGACGCAAGCACATGAGTGGTGAATTATAGTGGTGAAGGTTTTGTGCAGAACCACCCACACTTTTTGAAGGGAAAAAAACAGAGACTTGGTGCACTACGTGCCACAGGGTCCCCATCAATCCTTCCCAGGTTTTGAATTCAGAGTTGTCATTCTCCTAGACCAGGTGATATCCAAGGCTATAGATAGCTGTCTCTCCTGCTATTTATCCATAGCTGGTGGGAGAAGAAAAGGATTCATACCTTTCATAAGGTTATTAGCACGTAAATGAATGTAACGCATTCGACTGGAATTCGAACTCGGCTCTCCGATTCCTCAATCAAAGTCTCTATCCATTACTCCACTATAGTTTTATGCCAGAAGTATTTTCATCCCTCTTCTCGCTGTTGATTGAACTAATTTCATCTCGGAACCTCAAAAGGGTAATATGCATTTCAATCCCCGCGCTCAGCTTCTAATAAAAAATTTCTCGAATAGCTCCATTCATGTGTAAATGTACATGCTTCATTCGAAAATAACAAAACATTTTCATAAAACCTAACATTTAAACTTATCCATAATAAAATTATTGTGAAATTGAAATTAATTCTTTACCCCTTACTTTCCAGTCAACTTTGATCAACAAAAGTTTAAATGCAAAGTCAATCGTCATCTACTGTTTTCTTCCTTCCTGCTATTAATCGTTCTCTTTCAATAATAGTTTTTTCTCACATTCTTTAACTCTTAGTAACCCCTTGAATCCTAGTGGCTTTATTGCCTTCCTTGAAGTGGAATGATTTTAAAAAAATATTTTGAATGTCTACGGCGATATTATATATGTTGAGGAACAGCAGGTATAAATCTATGATGAAAGATGTTTGTAATTTGCCAAAGGAAAATTATACGTTTTTTTTAATATATATAAATTCAAATAAAATAAATTATTAACTAGGAGACTGCCACATTTCACCTTCGCGTTCTCATGTTTTTCATTGTCATGACGTGGAAACATGGTATTGAACCTGCTGTAGTAAAGTTGGTTCAATTTCTCACTCTAGATATTTTTCTCGCAAGAATATATCTTATATATAAGTCTAAGATTCGCCGTGCATTGAACATTGTAGCTACATATGTTCTGTTGCTTCTGCTATGTATTTAGGTATTCTTGATAAAATTCAAAGAAGAATCTGCAATTGATCCGAGTGTCCTCAGTCTTTCTTTCACAGCTATAACATAGTTGATCTGTGTCTTTTCTAAGAATGCTTTCATAGTAATTGTTTTGGTGAACTTGCTTCTATTTTTTATAGATTTTCTGATAATTAAGGGCAGTACTGGATTGGCTGCTATGTCTCATCCTTTTACAGTTGGAATTTGATAGATGTAACCGTATTTTCTATGCTAACAGTTTCTTCCCTGGAACCTTCCGCTTGTGGAAATCACTTTCAACTTCTTGCTTTCTCGTTAACTTTGATTTTCAAAAGATTAAATCGTTTCTTCAGTCTTCTTAATTCCTAATATTTTATTGTTATCTCTATTTAATAACTCTCTCATATTTTCTCATGCTAAGTAACTCATTGTCTTAGCCTTATTTAATTTATTGTTTTGCTTAGGTGGACTTGATAAAAATAGTAACAACATTTTATTAAATATATGTACATAATTTGCATGTTTAGATGCAATTATTTTCACTGCAGTATAGTACCTCACATTAATTTTATACGGATGTATTGTATTAATTTTCTTATTAAACTACATTTATTAACCTGAAATGAACATTAACAGCTTTTTGGCACTCTTTGCTCATCAATCCATACCTGCAAGTACGATGCAATGTTTTTCCTGTTTTTGCATCTGCCACTCAGATGAAACGGTTGCTATTAGGAAAATAATGTGGGGAAAATAATGATGGTATTGCATATTCCACATGCAGCGAATTCCACTGATCCTTCCTCATCATAATATCTAATCTCTTTCCGCACCGCTGTGTCTCCATCCCTTCAGGCTCTGGCATCTGCATGCTTTCCTGTACAGACAACCACTTTATCTCTGACAGTATGTGGGCATCTCCTCGCGTCTGTTTCTCCAGTACACTATCTGGTTCTGAGATGACTTCGCGAAACCCAAGCTATATTATTCGGACCGTTTGTTCTGACAGGCCCCATCAATCAGTCTGAAGGTTTGCCTTCCCGCTTCGCACGTGATCAAAAGCCAGTGATCTCGTGGCGCATTTTGATTGGTCTCTTGCCACAGGATCGGTCGTTAGCAGTGTGAGTCGATCAGGCCAAGTGGGTGCGTTGCAGAGAGTTGGGGATTAGATAGGGACAACGGGACAGAAAAAAAGTAATAAACATGACGAATGTGTACTGAAGGAAATGAATGAAAGTAAAAGTAAAATCGAGAAACGCCGAACGGTAAAAACATATGAAGAAAGGTTAGAGATCGAAAGAAAAGAAAGATCGAAGTAGAACATTATTAAATGATTAAGACAACTGCTGCGTCAGTATGAGCAAGTTAATATGGGAAGGAAATTGACAGAAGAGCAATGTATTTAACCGAAATAACAACAACAACAACAACAACAAAAAACAACGCTACATAAAAAATGAACGTAAAAACAAATTATCCAAAAATAGAGAATAATAAATGAGGAAATATATTTTTAAATGGACTGCGATCATAGCTCTCCACTATTTCCAATCAGTCGTAGATTTTAATAACATCTTTTCTATAAATATTTTCATAGCAAATGCTCTGACGAGCTAGTTTCACTGCTACCCCAAGTTTATTAATCTAAGCTTGATTCTAAGTAGGTATTTCGGACCCACGATTTCCCTGACAAAACCGCCTCTTCTATGCCAACAGCTTCTTCTCTCGCACTTCCCGACAGTGAAACTCTCTTCACGTTAGCGGCACTCCTACCTTGCTTCCAGTGGAAAGATTAAAAAATAATTTTTTTTTATACTTCACAGCCTTTCTTGTCTCACCTATTTACAAAACGTCATTAGGTAGGTTATTCATTGTTTCAGCTCCCTTACATTCAATAGGTTATTTGAGTGTCAAACTCTCCAGGCCTTTTTTCTAATTATTTGTCACAGAAATATCACCTCACTTTCTAACGTAGCGTATCATAGATAATGTTTTATTTCAAAATTTCCTTCAAATTTGTTGGTTGTTTACAGACTACGCATATTGTATTCTCATTATTCTTCTGTAGGAAAGAGTCTGTGTTGCTTCAGGTTTCTCTTGAATCTGTGAGGAAATTAAATTCGTATATGCGAATAATTATTAGATAGCATTTCAGTACTATTTGATTCTAACGAAATTTCGCGTCCTCTCAACGGATTGTTTAATTTTGGGAAGACATCTTTTAAATTTCAATGCAATTTTTTTTCATATTTCGTTATCACATGTTCCGTCATCTGTTAAAATATTTTCCATATGTTTAAATTCCAATAATTGTTATATTCTGGTACCTCAAATCCATAGCTTGCATCATTGACTTTTTTCTTTTGTTGACAATGAAAATGATGGGTAGTCATTTCTTCTCGCTTTCCTTTACTACAATTCCTTGGCGGGCTTGTAATTTTTTTTTTCAGTGTCTGTCATCAAAACAGTAGCATCAGGGTATCTTATGATATCATGTTTATGTACACCGCTAATAACTCGTGGTAGGGTATCCAGCTCCTTTTAAAAAACATCAGAGGAGAGTTATTTGAAAATATGTGGAAGGGCAATATCATGAAAATAAATATTCGCTGTCAAATAATCCCAAAAGAAAGTATGTTCAGCGAAATGAAGAGAAAACGGCAAAAAGAAGTGGTGTGATGAAAGTGAGACACACATTTATCAAAACTGGAATACAAGACGTCAAGTTCAATTTCTACAAACACGTATGTCGAAGTCGATGAAAGAGTCAATCTACCTATCCATCTCCTCTCTCTCTCTCTCTCTCTCTCTCTCTATATATATATATATATATATATATATATATATATATATATATATATATAATAAGATAAAACAAATAGAAACCTATATCAATCTAACTTGTATCACTTTTTATTAAATCTTCGTCAGAAATTATTAAAAGAGAAATGAAACGTGTTAGATTGATATACTATTCTATTTGTTCTTTATTTTAGCATTCTGTCGGATTCCAATCCACATTTGATCTGTATTTGATCTTTTATATATATATATATATATATATATATATATATATATATATATATATATATATATATATATATATATATATATATAAAAAGAAAGAACAGCAAGATATATAACCCGGTGTTCTTATAGATATTTTTATTTTTACAAAATAGTGCTCAATGTAAATTTACAGAGCATTAATATTATAAATTAATCGATTTAAAATATGTTTTTTCGCTACACAGTTCTAACCATGTTTCAAAAATGGAAGCTAAAAGCCACGAATTTAATTTTGTGATTAAATTAAAGACATTAGTTCCATTTCATCCTGAAGCGAATTTTATCACAAAATTAAACTCGTGGCTTTTAGCTTCCATTTTTGAAACATGGTTAGAACTGTGTAGCGAAAAAAACATATTTTAAATCAATTAATTTATAATAATGATAATGTATGTATATATATATATATATATATATATATATATATATATATATATATATATATATAAAGTTTCTGCAGTGTTAAAACGTTCCTCTTTGAAAAGTCTCCTGATATACTAGCTCTCTGCAAGACCAACATTAACTCGTCAATCCCCTTCTCTGATTTCTCGATTCCCGGTTACCTTTCTCTCCTTCGAAAGGAATCTAGAATCCACATTCATGGCCTGGAAGTTTATGCCCAAGACCATTTACCAATTTACCAATGGCTCGAGAACTCTCTCTTGAATCTCCAGACCTTCCATATATGTGTCTCTGTCTATCTCTCCTCAATTCTGTTAGGTATCTCTTTCTCTACCGACCCCCCTTTCTCTCAAGACAGTGATGTACTCGATAGCATTTCCGATAACATAGACAATGCCATCTCTCGATATCCGTTTACAAACATATTCCTTTTCGGTGACTTTAACGCTTTAACGTCGCTTAAAAACTCTATAACTGAACTCGCTGGTACACAAGTCCTTATTTTCACTCAATACCTCAAGCCAGTGGCTGACTTTCTTACGTGTTTTTCCAGTAAGCCTGACGGTAAAAGCTTCCTTTCTCGATCTTTGTTTTAATTCTATTCCTGACTCCTGTCGTGTCACGCATCTCTGCCGTCTGATCATGCCGTAGTGTCTGTTAACATCTCCTTCTACTCCCCCTCCAGCAAAGACAGGCAGTTATATAGATTTTTATTAAGCCTTTCTTAAACTTACATAAAGGCAATTATACCGTAAGTGTTTACTGAAAGGTTATATTGTATAATCGTAGAAAGTTTAGGTCTCATTTGTTTGTTTTAGCCACTAGATTTTTCAATTTTTTGGCAGTAAAATTTGTTCAGATAAGAAGCCATTTTACTTGTGGGTAATACTTAAATTGGGATTCTAGTATTATTTGGCGGTATTGTGTGCGTAATACACAGAAATATCAATATCAACTTAGATGTTTAATTTCAGAGTGCCGAAATATAAGTGGAAACTTGGAAAAAATAAAAAAATAAGATGATATTCTTTAAGAAAAACAGACTGGCACAACCTGAAGAGGACGACAGAATAAGAATACAACCTCTTATTCAAAAAGACATTATGAATGACAACGGCCAACTTAGATAATATGAAAAGGAACTACTGACAAGTTGTAAACATGGTAATTTCAATTGTGTAGATAGATGATGTGAAAATGAGTGTGGCATAAAAATGGTTTTAATGTGATAAAAACAAACACTTTTGAATAAAGAAAATTGAAGAAATAAGGTCACTGAGTGCATAAATACATAATGAAATAAACATTTGTCAAAATTCGATAATGGTGAATGCCTCAGAGAAAAATAAATTGTGGAGCGAGACACTTATCAGCCTTTACTCAAAATATTGGTGCCAGGATCTAGTGTTCAATCCTAGAAAAGAGTCAAGCATTTCAGCTATGATCTAATTTGTGGGCAGGTATCTCTAAGAGGAAGCATCGTCTAACATTTTTTCAGATCCTCCATCTAGATAAGTACATAACTGAAAACGAAACGAAAAAAAATAAGATAAAATTCAAAGTAAACATAAAATCAGAAAAGAATATAAAACTATAGATATAAATGAAAATAATGTCTAAATTGATTTCGTTTTTTATGAAGTTATCATTCAAAACAAGAGGTGAACATTGATAAAAGTCTTAATTCACGAGTACTCGCCAACAAAATAATATTTATAATTATTAATATAAAGTAAAGTATAATCGTCGATAGCTACGAATATACAAGTAGGAATCTTTAATAACTAGGAGGTATTTTAAGATTGGCCGGAATATGAGTAAAAGAAATCCATGCGTGTGTGAATAGCGAAAATAACCTCCCAAAAGCTAAGAAAAACATTATGAACCAGAAAAAAATCCGTTAGAAACAAAGACATTTTTAGGGAATTGTTACATAATATCAATCCTCGTATATGGCAGTGTATGCAGGACAGACTTCTCGAATAATTAATTAGAGTAGATAGGTTTGTTTATCGTCAGGTTCCCATTTGTCCTCGGTCATTTAAACAGGAGCAAAGGTTTACGCTTATTTCCTTGTTTCAGGTTTCAAGTTTCTTCTAATGTTTTTTTTATTTTCTCTTCTATTTTCAGTAGTCAATTGCATCTTATTGGCTTTATCGCCTTGCTTGAGAGTAAATTGATAAAAAAGATGAATAAGCAGAGACTTAATGCAACAGAATGGTTCTAATAGAGATGAACGTTGAATATTTTACGAAGTGAACATGTTTGTAATGAGGAAGATTTAGGCAAACTGGAAACAAAAATGTCAAAAGTCTTTAGAATCAGAATAAGAACATTACTTTTTTATTGGTGGTGGTGGGGTGGAATATAATATGAATAGTGGTCGTCCTAAATTTTACA